TGACAATTTTAAGGCATGTGGACTTCAACTCCCAGGATTCCACAGCTGGCTGTGGAATTCTGGGAGTTGAAGTCCACATGCCTTAAAATTGTCAAGGTTGAGAAACACTGGCTTACATTATTTTAAATGAAATGCGTAAATATTGCCTCGATTCTTTAAAGAAAACCCAATATGAAAGTTGCTATAAACCCTTTAATGGCTAGAACTAGGTGTTCAAAAGAATCATCATCATCATCATCATCATCATCATCACCATCATCATCATCATCAATTTAGCCATTGTCTATCCACAGCAGGATGAAGGCCTCTTCCCTGTGTTTCCAATCAATATGGTCCGGAGCTTTCTTTTGCCAGTTGGGCCCGCTTGCTGATGTTATCACTCCATCTTGTTTTAGGTCTCTTTTGTGGACGCTTTTTATCAAGTAGGGTCCATTCCATGACTGCCTTGGTCCACCTGCCATCAGTTCTTCTTCCTATGTGACCATTCCATTTCCATTGTAATTCTTTAACTCTCTTAATGATACTGTATACTTTCATTTGTTCTGCAGTTCAGGTCCAGGTCTTTTTATATTGTCTTGAAATGCCGAGCATGTATTTTTCCATGGCTCTTTGCGCCATGTCTTTTGCCCAATTCAGAAAGAAAAAGAAGCTTTAAGAAACATGGTTTGTTGGAGACAGTTTAAACTGTGTTGTCATAAATGTCTTATGACAATTTTGGTATGATAGGATAGTAAAGTAAGTTTCCAAGTTGGAAATCATAGAGCAAGGATAGCATGCATAGAACCTGGAATGAACAAACCTATTAGGATTGTAGACACAGAAAAAGCTGAAATCCTGATAATGGATTCTGTAAGAGTTTGTGCTAATTTATCTTAATATCCAGTCTGGTTCTCATGAGCAAAACAAAACAAAAACATTACCCAGTGGCTTTTTTTTAGAACCAGAACAGTTCTAAATTGCAAGTAGTTTTGTGACAATGATGATTTCTCAATGGCATGAAAAGTGTTGTCTCTGTTATTATAACATTAGTTTTGAAGAAAAGAGGAGAAAGTTGGAAGTACATGAAGTTAGGTGTTGCTTGAATTAGGATTCTTGCGCATGTACATGCTTGGCCACAAAAATATCAGAATAGAAATATCATTTTAGTCTCTTAAATAAAGAGGTGAGATTGATAGGCAGAAACAATTTTTGTTAGTAGAGATTCTGAAGAAGAATGCCTTTCCTTAGTTTTAACATTTTATTTTAATGCATAAGGTCCAAATTTAGTGTCCATCTTTTCTGTCAAAAAAAGGGAAGATGTAAATCCTAAAACTAAATGAACAGGAAGATTGTTGTAGATGGAACAAAAGATTTGTTTGAGTTGGTACATATTTTGTATATTTTTGTGCTTTTTCTTAATGAAGTACTCTTGTAAAAGGTGAATGAACAATTGATTATGCTGTGAATATATCAACAGAATATATGGACTGTTATATTGTATAAATAGGATTCTTTCATAAGGAGCAGAAGGAGAAGATTGAAAACTAGTTAAGAAAGAACTATTGCTCAGTGGCTAAATGCATATTCTGAGTATTGTGTTTTTAGTATCTTCAGAATGGTTGGGAAAAATTCCTGTTTGAAAAATGTACTTTCAGTTAGTAGATAATCTATTCTTATGACTTGCTATTTTATTATTTTATTTTATTTTTATCCCACCTTTATTACTTTATATGTAACTGAAGGTGATAAGTATGCCTGATACTCCTTCCTATTTTCCCCATAATAACAATTCTATGAAGTGGGTTGGACTAAATAAAAGGACTAGCCCAAAGTCAGCCAGCAGGCTTTCATACCTAAAGTGGGACTAGAATTCCCAGTCTCTTGGTTTCTAGGCCAGCACTTTAACTACTACACCAAACTGGCTCTGTATATATATAAAAAAATCTTCATATAGTGCCAGTTGATACAAATGCAGATATCCTGAAATTCTCTTCTGAATGATCCATACATAAGTAAGGCAGAGAACTGTTAGAAATACAGTAATAGAAAAGCAAATGGTTGCTTGGGTTTATGGCTACCATTTTTTATTATATAAATGTCTTAGCTGATATGAATGAAATAGCTTCATTATTGAGAACTGGCATTTGAGTAAGATTTATTGCAATATTAAAACTTTTTGATGGTTGGAAGGAGGAGAGCTTTTCCACTATGCAGAATTACATTAATTGGTTGGGCTTCAAATGTATTTTGCAATCTATGGGTTTTTTATTTTTGTCTCTATGATATATTACTGGGAGTAAAGGTTGCTTTATTGATGTGATATACAAAGGTTATTATATCAATATATTGCAGAGAAAATGCAAGGGAAGGAGAGTGCAGAGGAAATATTATCTGAAGCTTTTTCCAATAAGTGGCACCATGGTGTTTTGAAGTGGGTATCTCCATCCCACTCACTGTGGAGACAGGGCTAAAAAGGTTGTGAGAGATGTTTGTTTTGTCTCAATTTTTCTCAGCCATTCACCTCAGCAATGCCAATGGCCAGCAAATTTTGTCCACATCTGACTCAGATGCCTTTTTTCAGATCAGTCACAAAGGGAAGAGGAAAAATTGTTCTTGGATGAGGGAGAGGATCAGCATCCAGACCCCAAGTCTATCAGACCATTTTAAAAAGTAGAATTTCCATAATTATTCAGGAAAGTCAACAGTATGATAGGCCTGAAAGATCCAGAACCCCTCATGGCTGTTTATTCTCTGATGGCAGAGACACTCTATGTTCATAAGCTCTCCATCTTAAAGGAACCTGGAGGCAACATGAGTAAAAGCAAAAAGTTACCTAACTTAGACATTAGGAATCTTGACATTAGCCTTTAGGGTTAGGGTTACTAACACATGCATGGGGCAACTTAGGTAAACAAACGCTTCCTAATTTTTAAAATAGTTTTTTAAACAATGGATGTATCCGGATGTATGATTGCTGCAGGTTTAGAGGCATATCTACATAGACCTACCTAATATTAACATTCATAATGAAGTAGAGTGAAGAGATACAAAATCATGGCTTAAAATGGATTTACAAATTGTGCCTTGTGGGTAATTAAAGTTATATTACATCTGTTTTGCTGCTGGTGGTGTTAGAAACATTTTTAGCAGCTTCCTTGTCCCTGTTGGTGTTCTGCATGGGTGGCAAGAAATATTCTTATTATTTTCTTCCTATACTAATTTAATTCAATTTTATAAAAATCACTTCTTTAAATTTTATTTACAAATTACTTTAATTTTAATCAAGTGGCCGACATTTTACAAAATTAACAAATGTTAAATTGCTTTGCATTTTAATTAATTCTGTGGGTACAGTCTAATGGTTAATCCAATTCATACAATAAACCATAAGTACTTAACCAGGATATTGAGCAAAAAAGGGATTTGCTATGAACTTCAACATTTAATAATGCTTTTTATTAAATCAATACATTACTTTAACAGAATACCAGGGTTGGAAGGGACCTTGGAAGCCTTCTAGCCCAACCCCTTGTTCTAGTCCAAATCTCATACTTTGATTATGGTCAGGCCTTGTTAATATTATGTAAATATATAAAAAGTTCTAGCAATAAAACAACAAGTGCTACATTTGTTGGTTTGAGAACTAATAACAGAGAAAGAATATTGTATATTTCTGTTACCATTGGGTCTTGGGTGTATGGAAGTTATATCATCTTTATATACCTTTATGTACCATCTTTATATACTTTGGCATGCCCATGAGCTTCCAAACCCAAATTCCTCAGCGTGCCTGGCTGAGGAATTCTGGGAGTTGAAGTTCACAAGTCATAAAAGGGCCAAGTTTGAAGACGCCTGATTTAAAGTTTCACAATTCTAAATACGCTAAGAATACAGAATTGCTTGCAAAGCCTTTCCTGCTACCTTCAATCATAGGTGCATCATAGAGAAAGCTCGATCACATCATGGAAGCTCCTACAGTTCAGCCCCTGTGCTGTATCAGCACCCAAAGGTTCAATGCGCAAAGGTTTTGCCCAGAAATCCCATTCCTCATCTCTTTCTTTGCCAGAAAATTTGGCAGAAATCCATTACAATAGCCATGATTTTTTTAAAATTTATTGTCTACCCCACCCTAAAAACAGCAGCACTTAAAGATAAAAGGCTCTAATTATAGTGCTAAATCCACTGTATGCTACATTGCTGAGAGATAATTGGTTTCTCAAGGCTGTTCAGTGAATTCTATAATCTTGTTCTTTCACTAAAATAGGAGGTATGGCTGCCTTTTTTTTTTTGACTTGGAGACCTCCAGATGTAAATGCCCAGAAAAACAGCTTGCATAATTCCTTACCCTGGAGGGCACGAGTTTGGGGACAATTGCTCTAGAAGCAGATTCCTGTTTCCTACATGAAAAGGAGATGTATCTCCTTTCAGCATGAAAATGGCAGGTGCTAACTGTGGAATTCCTTCCCTGAATTCACCAAAATGAATGAGCTTTCAGCTAAATACCTACCTGTGTGGGCTTGATTGAAATTGCTGGGCCTGTTATGATGTTTCTATTGTCACCACTGTGATCTTGTTTTAAGTTTTGTCATTTTGTATGTTGTTATTAGTGTGTTTTATTTTTCTTTGGAATTACTAGGAATTGTTTTAATTCAGCCAATTAGATTGCTCCTCTAGCCAAGTGAGGGTTGTGAAAGTGAGTGGATACATCCATCATACTTGTTGTAACAACAATTTGTTGAAAAAGCCACAGTGATTGGCTACACGTTTTACAAACCACAATGGCTGGTTCAGGCAGCATGTTAAATTGAAACTATTTATGGTTTAGCACGATGGGTGAACTCAGTAGCTGTATTGCGTTTGGAAGATAAAGATTTGACAATCCTTATTGCTGTGGCAAACTGGTATGTCTAGTAAAGTCTAGATAATTGGGGAAAGATGTTCTGTTATGGTCTGAGTTGTCTTGCAAATGCAGGTTTGAAAGGTTTTTTTTGATGTTTTAACTCTGCTTACCTTTCATTTAGAAGTTGGTGTTGTTTTTGAAGAAACAGAGGCCTGCGACTGGTGGAGTTTGGGTGTCCTTCTCTTTGAACTTCTTACTGGAATGGTATGGTGTACCTTTAAAGAAAAAGTATGCCATGTTCTGAAATCCCACAGAAAATTGGGGAATTAGTTCTAGGCTGTAAATATCCAAAGGCAGCTAAGAGATACAGAAAAGTAATGTTTTGTTCACATATAGGGGACATCAGAAAGAGAGCATTAATAATATCATACTATAAAATAACAAAAATATAAGATAGGAATTTTCATATTGTAAGAAAAAAACAGAACAATTGAAGATACTATTTTTTATTAATTTATGTATTTCCTGCCTTTATTATTTTTACAAATAACTCAAGGTAATGAGTTATTTGTAAAGCATTTTTCTTCTCCTATTTTGCTCACAACAACAATTATGAGGTGGGTTGGACTGAAAGAGTGATTGGCCCAAAGTTACCCAACTAGCTTTCATGGCTAAGGTGGGATTTAAACTCATGGTCTCTTACCTTCTAACCTGGTGCCTTAACCACTAGACCAGGGGTTCTCAACCTTGGCAACTTTAAGACTTGTGGACTTCAATTCCCAGAATTTTGGGATTTGAAGTCCACAAGTCTTAAAGTTGCCAAGGTTGAGAACCCCTGCACTAGACCAAGCTAGTACTCTACCACATAAATCATTTGTTGAATAAACCACAGATGGCCAGGTTCTTACAATGTGCTAAGCCATAAACAATGGCCTATACCACTACTAATTCACAGAGTTTTAAAATGAAACTGAACATATTATGACTTAGCATGGTGATGAACCCAGACATATATTTTTCTTACAAGGAAGAAAAATAGTGCTTATTTTATTATGATGCTGTCAATAGGGCATGCTGTTGGGGTTTAGGGTACATAATGCGTTTCTGGGGCCAAAACTATGGATGTAAACGAAGCATTCCCTTTGAAATGTAACACTAAGGAACAAGAAGTAATTAAAAATGAATGCAAGTTGCTGGGGTACACTGTGGAAGTTAATTCATGAAAAAGATGTATCTTCTTTCATTGTTCCTCATTTGAATAGAATAGAATTTAAATGTTTTGTATTTGGCCCATCTTTATAGATCTTGTAAGACTTCAGGAAGATATAGTAAGATGCAAAGGGAATTTTTTTTAAAACAACATTTATTTGGTATACTTGTTTGATTCAACTTAGGACCATATTTTTTATTCAACAAATCAATCTTTCCCCCCAATTTCATCCGCCTTCCTCCAGCCTGGTGAAAGGGTTAAATTATGTGGGAAGAAGGCAGGTCTTTTTGTTGGAAGGAGGGGCCATTTGGCTTCCTCCCTTCTGCTTCTTCTGAAAGAAAATGATATTCCCTAAAGCAGGGGTCCCCAACCTCTGGGCTACAGCTCACTAGTGGGCCATGAGCTATTTGCAACTAGGCCATGGAAACGGCAGGTGAGCATGCACACGTGCATTCCCACTTGTGTGAGTGGCGGCCACACATGCTTGCAGCTTGCACAAATAGAGTTGCACACTCATGCTAGGCAACCACTCGTGCAGAACCAACCCTTCCCCCCCCCCTCGGTGGTTGCAAAGCAGGAAAGGTTGGGAAACTCTGCTCTAAAGTAGGGGTGTCCAATCTTGGTAAATTTTAAGACTTGTGGACTTCAACTCCCAGAATTCCCCAGCCAGCATGGCTGGCTGGGGGATTCTGGAAGTTGAAGTCCACAAGTTTTAAAGGTGCCAAGGTTGGATACCCGGTCCTAACGTGTTTCTGAATATTTCCTCTTGCTAGTCTTGGTGTTTGTTGAAATACAATCTCCACTATCCTTGAAGCTGATGAGAATTTGGGTGGGTTATGTCCGTATAAAAGAACATAATTAGGTTGGGTAACCTGCCTAAGAAATGGAGCGGAGGTCTGTACCTCCTTGATCCTCGTGTCCCCATTCACATTTTCCGAATACCTTTGGGAACAACCTATCAGCTTGTTTTCCAGATTTGTTTGCAGTGGAAATGGATAGTATGTGTATGCACAATGCAAAATAAATTTGTTTACAATCTTTGGTGAGGAGATACCCACTGTAATTGCTTTGTGTTTTAAGGAGATTCCATTATTGTTAGAGATTTTCACAGAGGTCATAATTACCTGTTTGAATTGTATATCTTAGCTTGTACCTCATTTTTTCCATCTCACAACAGGAATGATATTTTAGGCATATATAGTGAATATTCAAAAGGTGAAGCTCCGAAACCAATGCAAAGCTGCATTGTTCAGTTCTGCTGATAATCGGTTCTATTACACCTGATTAACTAGCTCACCTTGTTGAATTACAATGTCTTTCATTTCTAGTCAGCTTTCATCAATCACTTTCTGGTTAAGAGTTATGGAAATATTAACTTAGATTGAGGAGGATTACTTTTAAGTTTTTGAATATAGTAACATGCATCTCCATTCTTTATCATAACATGAACTTTAATATTTTGCATTTCTTGATGGTTTGCCATAGAGTCTCTTGGAGTGCCACCCAGCAGGAATAAATACTCATACCTGTTTAAACTTGCCAGATCACATTTCAGAAGAAGCCAGATCACTCCTTCAACAGGTAAATTCTTGATGAATGTGTACAAATGTTGTATTCCTTGCTGCAGCTAAAGTCAGATTAACATATACCATATATTTTACTGAATATATAAAAATATAATAAATGGATTTTTGTTCACTTAGTGGAAATGACAACCCCATATCAACTTACAGTGTTAATAAAATTAGCTTTGTTCTTTTTAAACTTGATGTTGTAAAAGGTTTCCTATCTTTCCTATTTATCTTTAGAATCTTTTATAAAGGATTTGGGAGTAATGTTTAAATTCAGCATCTGAAAATGTGCTAATAGGATTGTGGTTTATCTTAGTGTCCCCAGTAGCTACATCTTCTTAGCAGTAAAATTCTGTTTAATATGTAAACAAGTAAAGAAACTAAACTATTAATGCGTAGAGTAGAAATGTCTTACAGTTATACAGTTATAAAAATATAGGAGCTATTTTGTCAGGAAAAGGTGAATGAAAACACTGGACTTAATTATTTAATTTTGGAAAGGAGAAAAGGAATGATTGAGAAGTATACAAGACCTATCCATCTGTTGTTACCAAATATAGCTTGGACACAAAATTGCTGCAGAAATCCATTGATTTATCCTTAGTTATCTCTCCTGACATAGATGATTTGGGAGTAAAGGTATATTTTTAATATTAAAGTTAGCATAATGTATTAGGATTTAGAAACATACTAAAACTTGGTTATTTTAACAAACTTTGATGCTGGAGCCAAACTGATTTAGATCTGAGCTCTTGTTTGAATGTTATGGTTCTTATGTTTTTAAAAATTGTTACTATTGTGTGGTTATTTTTATTGTTTTAATCTATTTATGTAGATAGGATTATAAACCATTTATAGTCAGTATTCAGTGGGAGTAGTAGAAATTTACTTACTAAAATAAATAAATAAGAATAAAAGTATACAAGTGCTGTTAATGACTTCATCTAGTTATTAGACTCAGAATAGAGGATATTTTATACTCTCCCTCAGAAAGGAGCCTGAAAATGAATGGAATTTTACCATTGGCATCTTTGGGAGTTTATTAAAGCAATACATAGCAACTAGCACTTTATGCCAGACCGCTTGTTATTTTCCCTCCTCCCCCAGGTTCAAGGTTACCCATGTCCAAAAGGAAGTGTTTCATCTCTGGGCTGCATGTGGCTGACTTTACAGTTGAAGAGTCTGCTCCATTGGCTAGTAAATCAATTTTCTTTTGTGTGTCTTTCTAAGGAAACTACCATTCATTTTTGAGGAAGCTTTGTCAGGAAAAGGAAAAAGGGACTCTTGGCATAGCTAGTCATTTGTCATTATGATTTTCCTTTTCCACCTCTTCACAGGTTGCTTGGGTCAGCCCATCACAGAATGTCTAGGAGAGGAACAGTGTGCAGATACATGCCAAATGTGTCCCATGACATGGATTTCAAAATCATTGACCTCACTGAAAAAATAACACCCCACCCCGATCTAGCCAGCTAGAAGCTACGTACTTCAGAGCCATTATTATTATTATTATTATTCCTTATTTTGATTACCTGAAGATACAGATGAAATTCTTAAGGCTCTCTTAATTGACATCAAATTTCTCGAAAGCTGCCCCAGTTAGCATAATAACCAGTCTCTTTTTGAACTATGCAGCTTTAATGCAGCTTATTTTGCATTTTCTTTCTCATATTAAAAGTTTTTTCCTTGTAACAGGGAAAGCCTTCAGAACATAAATGTCTTTGTACTTAACTTTTCCACCTGGTATCAGTTGTTATATTTTCCAGAAGACGGCGGAATGGCTGTTTTCTGACTGCTTATCTACTAACTCATGTATATTCACAAAGAAGTCTTGTTTTGTTATCTGAGTTATTTTACTAAGTGAGGTTAGAGCAATTTTAAGTGGCAGAGCCAACTTAAGATGTGCAAATGAATACATTTTATGGGGAAATTTCTCACTTTGATTATTAGATGTATGCATATGAAGGCACGCGCCCCAAATAATACCAGAGACAACTGCATTATGCTATAGTTCCCTTTAAAGAAAACTTAGAAATGAAATTATTCTTTTGAACTGCTTATGTGACAGACTCATAAGAAGGAAGAAATGTAAACTTCAGTTCCTTTATCCTTTGTAAATATTTTTATGCTTTGCTAGTTACTTCCTTTCAAACATTTTCAATCAGAAATTGCAGATAAGAAGAGTTCACTTCATCTCCCCTTTGACTTTATTGTGGATTTTTTTTTTTAAAAAAACTACTTAGTATTATTACTACTAACAATCAATCATATCATTTCTTTACATTTCGTTTGTGAGACTTTAGCTGCCAAAGCTCCTTGGGCCTCTTTGAAGACTTTTTTTAGATAAATATTTTAATTGTCTGAAAAGCATCAGTTCATCTTAGTTTCCTCTGTCTGATCTGATCACATTGGTTTCCACTGAAACCCCATATTAGGGCTATCCATCAAGTAATATTTTTATCTTTTTCCATTTAAACAAATATTTCTTGCATGTAGTGCAAATAGGGATACATTCTGTGACATACCTTCATTGTATATTGAGACTCCTGGCAACTGCCTGAATGTAGTCCCTGCGGTTTTCTTGGCAGGATTTCAGAAGTGCTTTGCCATTGCCTCCTTCCTAGGGCTGAGAGAGAATGACTGGCCCAAGGACACCCAGATGGCTTTGTGCCTAAAGTAGGGCTAGAACTCACAGTCTCCTGGTTTCTAGCCTGATTTCTTAAAACACTGGCTGTCTCACACACCTTCATTAAAATGAGGTAAAAGAAAATTTAGTTTTGATCTAAACTAAGTGGAGACAGTCAATCTTTTTTCATTGTATTTCTTGTAGGTTGATAAATATAAGAGTCAGCATAAAAGATAATACCTCTGAAAATGACCACAGGGTGTTTTAATACAACAGGTATTTGCTGATATATTCTTTTTCTTTCTTTTATTCTGCATTTATTAACCAGTAAGTAGAATGTTCAAGATTATTTCAGAAACAACTAGTGCTTAAAGGAGCTGATATTTGATAACTTGATAGAAAATTACTGACAGTTAACTGTCATTAATAAGTCTTGCATATAATGTAATAGCTTCTTTTAGATGTCTTCCTAGCCTCCCTCAAATATTGGAAAATAATGTAAAGGTGTTCATCTATCAGCAGGCTAGTCCTCTGGGATAAACTTTGGTGTTGTGGGAGAAGCTGGCAAAAGAAGAGCAAGTTTGAAACAGGCTAGATTCAGCTGGGAAGCAGTAGAGGAAAAAAAGCAGAAGAAACTCTCAGATATATCCATATGGGAGAAGTCATTGACAACAGCTTGAAATCCTGCTCTTCTAACTCCACCTTCCTCCTTCTTCATCTTGATTCGGAGCAGAACCTATGCAGTTCACTCTGTGTTTCCTGGTGCACATACACAGAGATGCCACATGGAGAAGAGGATAAACGTACACTTAAATAGATGCAACATGTTACTTATACAATTAAACACAGATGCCTCCTATGTATCTGTTTAGTAAAGAAAAGAATTCGAGAAGCCATGCTCTACCTTCCTCAGTACATTCACATAGTAGCCAGCCTTTTATCTGAAATACTTAATTCTGCATGCTTTAATGAGCTATGACAAGTAAAGTTTTCATATTTCATTTTTATTACATATTTACTCAGATAAATTAATGTAGTCTCCGTTAACCTAAAATCATTATACCTCAGTAGTCTAGGCCTCACAAGCAAAGTGCAAAAATCCAGTACAGCTTAAGTTCCACATGTCTATGGAGATTCTCAGTTATCCAGGTCATGGTTGTCCAAAAGGTTCTTTTTTCATGAGGCAACTGGACTTTCTTGTTTTTCTTAAAGATGTTTCACTTCTCAGCCAAGAAGCTTCTTTAGCTCTGACTAGATGGTGGGGAATGGCAGACTTTATACTCTTTGCAGACAGCTGGTTGTTTGCATTCTTTTAGCGAGTCATTGAAGCCCCTGGAGGCTTATCTGTGTCGTCAAATGGGTGTGGAGCCTTCTTGGAACTATTGAAAGGACTGTGTTTTAGATTGGAGATAGATGATGTCATATCCTTCCCTACCCCCTCTGTTGAGAGAGGGTTGTTCAATTTTGACATAGATGGTCTCTTTGAACCCTCTTTCAAACCAGCTGTCCTCTTTGTCCAGAATGTGGACTTTGCTGTCTTCGAAAGAGTGGCCTTTGTCTTTTAAATGCAAATGGACTGCTGAATCTTGTCCTGATGGGTTTGTTCTCCTATGTTGTGCCATGCTTGAGTTTCACATTTAAACAAGTTTATTAAAAACAAATCTGGATATGATGAGAAAGCCACAAACATAAAGTTACTTACTGCTTAAATATATAATAGCAAGGATATAGCCAGTCCTTTCTTGTCAAATCATCTTGCAGATTTGTTACACTGTTTACAGAAGTCTATGGAATATTCTTTATTGCCAATTAAATATACACACAGCTTCTGATAACAAATTCAAGATAAGTTGTAATTGTAAATCTTTCATTAAAATAATATGAAGCATATTGTAAACTCAAAGGTTTCTGTGTAGAAAATATTCACAAGAGCTTACAAAAAAGTCTGGAGAGATACTGTATCTCAAGTTCAGGAAGATTCAAGAATAGTCCTTTTCTGATCTAAAATAACAGTTAATCCAACAAAAACATAATAGTCAGAGTCACCGGTAGGAGATTCAAGCATAAGGTTGCCTCAAATAGCCATCTCTAGAAACCATCTCTATCAGTTTAACCAACTGATTTGGTCAATGCTTCTTTCTTTCCAGCAGAACACTTGACTTCCTTTGCTGTCTCTTAATCTGCAAGATGTTGCTTGGCTTGGGACCTTGACTGCATTTTTAATCAGCTGACTTAGGTGATCTCAAGGGTGCTCTCCTCAGCCATTTCTTGCTGCAAGCTGAGGTTTACACCGCAAGCTCTTCAGCTTAGGAATCTGAGGATTTGGACTGATATTTTCAAATATTTTTACAGGTTTTTTTAAATAAAAAAGGAATAATAACGTGATAGAAGAATAGAACAAAATTTGTGTGGATTTCTCTACAGGAAAGAGCATTTACCTTCCTATAAAATGTATGACAGACACCCCTATTATTTCCTATATATAGTGGCTATCAGGGATATAATTGCCTTAAACTATGTATGCTTCCTAGGTGAGGGCATTTGTAGCAATACATAGGCTTTGTTAAGTTCTTTAGAAGAAAAGTGCTCTAAGAATGAAATGAATAAATTCAATTACATTTCAATAATAGAATCAGTTGCTTCAGTTTACTATCTTGATCTCTGCCAGATGTTTCAAGGGTTGTTATTCATGTTTGTTGTACAATTATGATAATTTACACTCTCCTATAGTCCTGGCATTACTTACCCTCATGTAAGTAAGGGAAATCAACCATAATATCAGGCTACATTTGGTACTTACTTATAAAACCTGTAAAAGAGAGCTAGTTTTGAAGAAACAGAATTTAACACTACAACATTTTATTTTTTTGTTTTGGTCTTTCAGTCTCAAAAACAGACAGATATTTAAGTTGATCAGTTACTACCAGTGTAGCATGGAAACCATTTCAATATGGTTGATCACATGCAGCTGTGTTCAATCTACAGGGTCTCCATAGAATGGCTGGTGATATGATTAGTTCCAAGATTAGTATTTGCAGAATTGCTGTGGAAGATGGAAGAGAACACATTCTAAAATATACCAAAATAATCCTCCTAATCCACATTTCCAAAGTAACTGATATGTAAAAACAGGTTCCAACAAACAGGCTATTATTTTACAATAGTAATGTAGTAATGATAAATGACTTAGAGAAAAGAGAATGGCCAACAATATGATAAAACTAGGGCTGTAACTATGAGAGGCCTCTATTCTGATCTTTTCCCATTTTTTTTAATATGCTAGTGTTTTAAATTGCCGTATGGAAAAAAAGTTAAGTTTATTATAAATATTATTGAAATCTAGCCATTAATTCCAGAGGATGCAATCCTCTCTGCTGATGAGCTATAACAAGAAAAGCCTGGGTTGATTGGTGTGTTCTTTTCTTTTCAGCTTTTGCAATTCAATTCTGTGGAACGTCTTGGTGCTGGAATTGCTGGAGTTGAAGACATCAAAGCACACCCTTTTTTTGCCACCATTGATTGGATCGAATTAGCTAAGTGAAAAACTGTACAAGTTGTCTATGCTTAGGCTGCAGATGTCTAACAGACAATGCTCTTGGCTTGCTGCCATCATGAAGACTTTAGGTGTTTCCAGACCAGGATGAATAAATTGGAAATTGGAATCCAAACACCAAATGAAATGTTTAAGCTTGATTGAGCAAAAGAAAGGTGTGGTTTACACTTGTATGGACTGACTTCAATTCTTCTTTTGAGCTGGGATCACGTGCAGCGCTAATTGTAGGGCATTACAAGTGGTTGCCATTGCATGCCATGTATTTCCTTACCCACATTTCAAATCATGGAAATCTGGATGGAAAAGTAGCCCTGTGACTGAAGTCATATCTAGCTCTGCTGTTAGTGGGGAATTATGCAAATAAGAATACACACCTTGTATTTTGTTTCATTTTAAACCAGTGGTTCTCAACCTGTGGGTTGCGACCCCTTTGGGGGTCGCCTTTCACAGGGGTCACCTAAGACCATCGGAAAACACATATTTCCGATGGTCTTAGGAACCGAGACATCACTATCCGTCTCCACACAGCTTTGAGCTTGGGGCCATTGCAGTGCCGGATTCATTTCCGTCGAGCATCTCCTAAGGGAGGCTGCACTGCTTCGCAGCCCTTTCCGCAGAGGAGGCTGAACTAAGCGCTGCCAGTGCTGTCAATCTCTTGGCTCTCTCTCTCTCTCTCTCTCTCCCTCTCCCTCCCTCCCTCCCTCCCTCTCCCTGCCTGGGCGCTTCTCCAACCAGGCTGGGCGGAGCCGGCGGAGCAGCCTTCCTGCCCCCCCTCCCCGGCCAGCTGGAGCCAGGCAGGTCAGAGACCTTCAGAAGTGAGGCAAGGACAGGCAAGGCATGCTGCGCTCCGGGCGCAGTGGGTGAGTGGGCGGCGTCGGTGCGCGCTTGGAGAGCCCTTAGGGTTGGGGGTCACCACGACATGAGGAACTGTATTAAAGGGTCGCGGCATTAGGAAGGTTGAGAACCACTGTTTTAAATGATGATGAGTTGTGGAATTTCTGTTGTACATTCCAATGTCTATTATCTATGCCAACTGAATATAGCCCCCTTTTTATACTTAGGTAGCCTTGGCAGAGTTGAATTTAAGTAGACTGGAGAACAGGGAGAAAAATAACTTAATAATAACATATGTTAAATAGAATATTATGGTGCTTCTGCAAAACTTGACATTTAATATGTCTAGTTTGGAGAGGGGTATGGCAGGAGAATGAAAGCTAGCATCATGCAATGTAATTCCAAAATGGTTAAGTGTCATATCTTAAAATGTAATCTAGCTATTGTTATTTTGTGCTTGTTGGTTGCAATGCAATGTTTGTTTTAAAGCACTAATTTTAACCTCAAGTTTTAAATCACTGCAAGATTAAAAAATCTCTCATCTAGATAATGATTGTTTTAGTAATTTAAATGGACTAAGAAAGTAGAATGCAGAAAAAAGTATGGCTGTATGGGTATAAGGAAAGCTAGCATTTATTGTATGGAAATTCATGCTTTCATATAGCTATTCTTTTTTCTTTTTTCTTTTGCTTACATGGAAAATGTTCAAGTTTGCAGAATTCCAGTTACATGTACATCTGTTTTTATTTGCTCGTGTGAATTCTGAAAATGTTTTATTTTCTCAATTTTACCATAACTTTGTTTCTTCATTTAGAAACAGTATATTATTTTATGTGTTTTACCATTGTGAATCCCTCCTAAGGAGGAGAGTCTACAAACAATTGCTCTGAGAAAATTTGGGAGTTTTATATTAAAGTGCACTATCAGAAAGATTATTTGGAAACCTTTCACAAGCACTGGTGCTTCACAATTGGAATTCCATTGTATGTGCCATGAACAGGCCCAACTGAAAAGGGATGGGTGAGATGTCTGCAAGGGAATGGCTGTGCTTTTCATGAATATTGTTTTTTAAACAGATTTGCCAAGAAGCTGTTTCAGAAGACTGCTGACTTCTGATAAAATTAAAACAATGGTGATTTGGCCATTGGTCCTTAATCTGTTGATAATTTTGTTAAATGGAAACACAGACTCCAAAAATTGAGGATAAGACAACCTAAAGTTAATATTTACTTAAAATAAAGACTCGTTCTTTTAAAAGGTCAATGTGTTAGTGCATGTAAAAATCTTCTGTAATAACTACTTTAGGATGGCTCATTAAGATATTAAGCTCTAAAAGCATATATTAAAATACCAGACAAATATGTGCCTTGTTACTTCCTTAAATTCATCCTAACACACTGGCGAGCCTTCCCTCTATTTGCATCTGAGGCTATGCCTTTCTCACTATTTATTGCTTATGAGCAGTCTACATGGCTCTGAAGTACTTCCCAGGGAGTTTAACATGGGTTACCCGCCAAGAAATTTGAGGAAGACTGCTGTTCCAGGATTACAGGAGGAGTAAAATTTTTACTCTTCAACTGTAGAAATGAAGAGATTTTTGCTTAAAATGAGGGCTAAGTCCCCCAAGTTTAAGAAGAGTTAAACCATTTCCAGAAATATTGATCAAGTTGGCAATTCCCTATGGGACATATAGCAAAAAGAATCAAATGATCTGAAAGTTATAAACACCAGTATTCTTTTATCTGTGCAAGTGTGCTGTAGAATACCAGGGTGCCTATAGGCTATTGTATAGTACAGACTCTTGTCTGTTTGTTCCTCTTAGTTTTATCTGGAGACCAAAGGGTAAATTTCTTTCGTAAAGAAATATTTAGGCTTTTTAGTAATTTCTGCTCTTCATCCTAGTTCACACTGGAAGTTAAGATTTTTACAGGCCATTCCCTATGTGCATCTGACAGGCTGCATCTGTTGGATGCTAGAACTGGTGCTACTATAAAGTGGAAAAAGGAAAAGACTTCATTGATCCAAAGGAAATCTGGAAGCTCTGTTTGGTTCCTTTTGAAATTATCCTGCTCCTGTTTTCCCCCACCTCCACCCCTTGTGATAAAAACACAAACCACGGGACTGTAATAACACTGTAGGCTGTAACCAGGTCACCAAAAGAATTACTATTATGGAGGGCTTTCTGATATTACATCATTCTCCAAAACTTTATTTGAACAAAACTCTTCCACTGCTACATAACAGGAACTCCCTCAGGTGAGCTGCAGCAACAACTTCCTGTGCTGAGAGGTGAGGAAATTTCTGAAGCTGAGAGAAATGCAGAGCTTCCTTCCAGCAGTGGCTATGTGGTGGTTTTGGAAGAGAAGAAAACTTCCAGTTGTGACCATGAACCTTTAGCCATTTTTTATTGTTAGAGTTTTGAGTCTTTCTAGGACAGTCTTCTCTCCAGCAGAATGTTGGGAATTGCAATCCCAAAGCAAGTAGAAGGAGTGGGCCATTGGTTTGCTCTTGCCTGGATTTCATCTAAATATTCATTTTAATATATATATTAAAATGCTAAAAATGCGAATCCTGGGCATTATGTTAACCAAATAAGAAAGAAAAACGAACACCAGGATATAATAAACCAGACTGTTTGATATAAACAAGCCTGTGGTTAAAAAGAGTCACTAAGCTTTTGTCAGGCCAAACTACCGATGTCATCAGAGTTGGAGTAAAAGGAGATCAGGAAGGCAGCTCCTATAACCTCCTGCCTCTGTGCCCGGCTCCTTGAGCGCGTCATTGAGCCGTTGATTGTACTGAGCAGAGTTCTGCATCAGGCAAACTGTCCTTGGCTCCGCTAGTTGTTTTACGATCCTCAAGTGCTCTTTTAGAGCATGTGCAAGCACTTGGAGGGTGGTTGTCAACCGGTCCCTGTGCCCAGTCTCCCTTCTTCCCAGGGCCATTATCCTTTCCCACCCCCAAGGCTGTTGTCATCTCCCCCGTAATTCCTCCGCCCCAGTCCTGCAAAAAGCAGCTGTTCCGGCATTCCTGCTCTGCACGTTCCCCCTCCCCCTCCTTCCAGATTGCCTCTGCCTGTCCGTCCCCGGCTTAGGGCCATTTGGTCCATCATCTCTGCCCATGGAGTCGTCGCCTCACCTGTAGAGCCATCTTCCCAGTTATGCAAGATGCTGTCCAATTGTTTCGGTCTCTGGTTTTTCCCTTTAACCAGGTCATCGTCCTCCTTAGGGATCGTGCCCATCTCATCTATCATTCTACCGCCCCAATCCTGTGAAGGAAGAGTTGAGTTGAGCGCCACGGTCTGCTGAGAAGACGTGCTCAAGGAGCCGGGCACAGAGGCAGGAGGTTATATGAGCTGCCTTCCTGATCTCCTTTTACTCCAACTCTGATGACGTCGGTAGTTTGGCCTGACGAAAGCTTAAGGACTCTTTTAGCCACAGGCTTGTTTGTTTGTGTGTATGTATGTGTGTGTGTGTGTGTATATATATATATATATATATATATATATATATATATATATATATATATATATATATATATATATATATATTTAAGAGTACTATACATGTCACTTCTGAATCAGATAGTTAATCATTTTTCCTCTCCCTCTAAAAAAAGAATAAATGAATGAAAACAAATGACTGAGACAGCAGAGGGGAGAATAGCACCATATCCAAAGATGTGCTATGTGTTGTCAGCAAACTGATGGCTGTTTGCTGATTCCTGAAACCTGCTCTGGAAGATGGGATACCCTTAGAACAAAGGGAGGGGAATATAGTAGGGTGAAAAGGGATGGAAGCTTCATTGCACAGACAGAAGTCCACTTCTTAGCATCAGATATTGCCCGATATCTGTCTTCATGGTGGTCTCAACTGGTAACTCACCGGTGGGATTTCTAAACAAAATTTCTAGAAACTAAAACTAAAGAGAATGATCTATTGGGAAAAGTTGATGGAGAGGGTAAGGTGTATAACTTAGTAAATTTTCATTATGATGTAAAATATTTGTAGTGTGATAACTTTAGTGGGATAATCTGAGGAAGTATTAATGTGAAGTGTATGCATAAAGTTTATTCCACAACCATCTGGAATTGGTGGTTTAAATTTGGAATTGAATCTTACAAATCTTTATCAGAAGCAATTTGCTTTTCATAATACAAGGTTGGGGAAATGTAGGCCTTTGGAGCTTATGCAACCCATGACCTACAGAATACAGAACAAAGAAGGGCATTTTAGAAGACCAACATCCTCCTCTCCTAGCCTCCTCAATTTCCCCTTGTCTTCAGAAGAAAGCAAGAATTATTCCAGGACTTTTCCACTTTGGTATTGGCAATGGAATAGAGGTAGTCTCATTCTTCTTTTGTAGAATGGCTATATTGAAGCCTTCTATCTGTGTGAAAAGGTAGATTGGAAATGCACAGAAATAGAGACTGTATCCCTAAAAATAACACTTACTGCATCATTCTTTTCTTTCACTGTGAAAAGGAAAATCTAATTTTCATATTTATTTTACTGAAGTATAAATGTTGTGATTTATCTCCCATAAAAATCAAAAGGACAATGTTAGTAGTGTACTTATTTTTACAAGTGAAAATAAAGCAAAATTTGTGCAAAACAGAGAGAGATCCATAGGTTCACAGAATGCCTATACCGTAGTAGAGGAATCTTTCCCAATGCTTTTCTATAAGAACTAAGCAAAACCCACCATAGAACTAAGACCACTCATATTAGTCAAGATGAAATTTCAATGATCTAAAACAAATTATATGTTTGAGTTTTGGGACTCAGTTGAGAGATGCCCCCAATTCCTAACCTTTAGTTAGTTAGTTAGTTCATTCATTCAATTTTTATAGCCACACATCTCAGTCAATGACTCTAGGTGACTTACTTTTTTGCGAAACTACTCAAAATCTTTGGAAGAAAAACCTAAGGACACAATCAAGAAAAAGAGAAGACTGAACAGGAATCTGTCACTGAATACTCATTAGCATTTGGAAGGGGAGAATGGAAAAATGCATGGTTTGAGGAAGACAGTGGGGTGCAGTATCTTATAAAAAGGGCCTGGATAGGATCCTTGAATAGCAGCACTGAATGTCATTGCACTCCCAACGTATATCTTTATAATTTTCTCTTCCAAGAAGGTAGGGTATAAGGGGAGAAGGGCTAATGGCAATGAAAGACTTTGTTGGGAAGCATGAAGAAAATGAGCATTCTGAGGGAGGATAAAAGAACCTGGAATACTTATGCAATGCCCCAATGTGTCAAGGTGAACTTCAATTTTTCATAAGAACAAATAACCTGAATCACTGTTTTACCAGCTGATAGTAGATACATTATCTTTTTATTATTCCTCATCCCATTGTTATATAGTGAAAACAGAACTGAAAATTTTAGTTCTTTAAAACAAGCCCTAAAATATCTGGGCTACAAAAATCCAGACAACCTGTACATGGCAGCAAAGATGTTTTCTATATCTTGTTACTGCTATCCAGTGTTCATAGTTTTGCAATCTCTATAGAGTAATCCTACTAAAAGTGAAGATCTAACCTAGTGAATACTCCAGTCAGGTAGAAAAATAACTTATAGTCAGAAAGGACTGTTGTTTCTGATGCCAGCAAATAGTATTTATTCCCTCCCACTGTCGAAAGAAAGGAGGAAGGAAGCCAGCCAGTCATATAGATGTAGGTATAGTTAATTATTTGCTGGAAGAGGATTCTAATCCTTTCTATCTGTATCACACACTGGATTCAAATCCCCTCACATCCCCATTAAAGAGGGGATTTCAATCCAGCGTATGATACAAATAGATCATAATAGCAGTCTGTAGACAGTCTATGGATATCTCCCACCTGGCAATTCTAAAGTGAGGCAGCTCCTTCCTTCCCCAGGCCCCATGTTGAATTTAAATCAAAGGTAATCTGGGCTGATTTTATTATAAGAAAACTATTTTCAATTACAGAATGGTAAACTCTTCTGAATGAACTGAGTCTGTGGTCACAACTGAGCCTTCTCTGGAGTCCCAAACCTTGGATCAGGCTGAAAAACTCTGCTTGAGGCCCTCATTTGAGTATGTGATTTTCCCAAGAAAGGCCACATGTGCTCCAGGATCCTTTGCCTAAGTGACTAGAATTAGGTCTGCAAGGCATGTTTGCAAATAACTCTCCAAACACATGATAAAGCATTTAAGAGGCAAAGAAAATCTGGAGGGCAACTACTGTCATAAAGTGGACCTGACCATCAAATTCATGTGCAAAAAGAGATGTAGACTAAACAAGAGCCAAAGGCATGGGAAGTATTACCAATTGCAATTTCTTGTAACTGTCGTGTCATTTGTTTTCTCAAGGACACTGAAGGGGAAGCTG